CGAGCTCAGGGAAGTGAGATAGTACAGGGTCTCCAGTACATTATGCTAGTGATAAAATTATTGGTTCAGTCCTTAAATAGCTCTTTTGCCAATGAGCTTCCCTCTTGTTGCTCAGGCTGGAGTGCAATGGCGCAATCTCAGCTCACCGCAACCTCCGCCTCCTGAGTTCAAGCGATTCTCGAGACTCTGTCCCAAAGAAATAAACAAAAAAACCCACTAAACTCTCAATTCCATCTGCTCAATATGCTCCTTCTCCAGTCTTTCCCTTCTCAGAAAGTAGCCCCTTCACCTGTGGGATCATTCTAGACTTTTCCTTCTCTTCACCTGCCACGCTCAACCCCAGTCCTGTTTGTCTCTTCCTCCTAAACACCTGTTGACTCAATTCCTCTCCATCTCCGCCGCACCGCAGTCTGGGCTGCCTGTTCCCTGCATGTTTGCAGAAGCTTCCCAGTGATTCTCCCACACTTGCCCCTTTCCAGTGCCTTTACACACAGTGCTCCAAGAATCCTTTTAAAACATAATGCATACAACTGCCATGTTTAAAATTGTTTCCATAAAGCTTCAAATAAGGCCAGGTGCAGTGGCTCACACCAGTAATCCCAGCACTTCGGGAGGCTGAGGCGGGTGGATCACCTGACGTCAGGAGTTTGTGACCAGCCTGATCAACATGGAGAAACTCTGTCTCCACTAAAACTACAAAAAATTAGCCAGGTGCGGTGGCACATGTCTGTGATCCCAGCTACTCGGGAGGCTGAGGCAGAAGAATCGCTTGAACCTGGGAAGTGGAAGTTACAGTGAGCTGGGATTGCAGCACCACACTCCATCCTGGGCGACAGAGCGATACGTTGCCTCAAAAAAAAAAAAAAAGAAAAGAAAAGAAAAGGAAGCTCAAAACAGAACCAAACAACCCCTTTTCCAGCTTACAAGACTCTACCCACTTCTCACTGCACCCTCCACAAACCCATCCTGCCACAGAGCCTCTGCATTCATGCCTCTCTGCAAAAATATACTGCACCTTGCACACCCAGCCACAAAATAAGACCGTCTACTCAAGCTTCCTGGGAGGGCCTGTCCCTTTTTCTGAAATAACTGCCTTCACACGTTTTGAAAATACTAAGGAAAAGATGGTAATGAGAGCTGGTAGTTTGTTCCTTTTGCCAAGTCAAGACTAAGTTGATATATCCAAACAGTCCATACTATATTCTTTCCAGAAAATTCACAGTTCTGAAACCCAGCATCTCTAAACCACCGCAATACTCCAATGGGGCACAGTCTGTTCACTCTTCTAAGTGTCTAAACATGGGAAAGAAACATAAATAAGACAAGGTCCCTACTCTCATCGTTCACAGCCTAATAGAAGTGGAAGTACATGGTCCCTACTCTCATCATTCACAGCCTATTAAAAGTAGAAGTACCTAAATACATAATTCCAGTTTAATGTGGCTCACATTAAAATACCTAAATACATAATCTCAGTTTAACATGGCACACATAAGTGTCAGAGGGTGGAAAAAGTGACCTTGCTCTTTTTAACACACATAAGTGACAGAGGGTGGACAAAATGACAGAGTCTGATGATAGCAAGAGGAAACTCAGCCACTGGCAGAGGAGTCCTCAAAGTTCAGAGGTGTGGGCGGCTGGAGTTACCAGGAAGAGGACTGTGATAAGGTGTGTATTGACAATAAGGTGTGTATTTAGAAGGTGGGGTGGCAAGGGACGCCACTGCTCATGACAAGGAGGGCATCAGCCAGGTAAGAGCAGGTAGCTGGAGCAGTTCAATGTTATGGTTGGCCATATGAAGAAAGTGCTATTTGGTGTAATTACCAGCACAGGTGAGAAGTTTGGAAATTGTCATTCTTGCAAGCTCCTTTATTTCAAAATATGGGGCACGTGGTATGCTACCAAGCAAGTCTTCTGGGCGAGTTTGGAAAATTCACCATTTTCCAAGAAAATGCATGCATTTCTTTTTTTTCTTTCTTTCTTTTTTTTTTTTTTTTTTGAGATGGAGTTTCCCTCTTGTTGCTCAGGCTGGAGTGCAATGGCGCAATCTCAGCTCACCGCAACCTCCGCCTCCTGAGTTCAAGCGATTCTCCTGCCTCAGCCTCCTAACTGGGATTACAGGCATGTGCCAACACACCTAGCTAATTTTGTATTTTTAGTAGAGATGGGGTTTCTCCATGCTAGTCAGGCTGGTCTCGAACTCCCAACCTCAGGTGAACCTCCTGCCTCGGCCTCCCAAAGTACTGGGATTACAGGTGTGAGCCACTGTGCCCGGTCTCCTTTTTGTTTTTGTTTTTTGAGGTGGAGTCTCACTCTTGTCACCCAGGATAGAGTAAAATGGTGTGATCTTGGCTCACTGCAACCTTTGCCTCTCGGGTTCAAGCGATTCTCCTGCCTCAGCCTCCCAAGTACTGGGATCACAGGCGCCCACCACAATGCCTCGCTAATTTTTTAAAAAATATTTTTGGTAGAGACAGGGTTTCATCATGTTGGCCAGGCTAGTCTCGAACTCCTGACCTAAGGTGATCCACCCACCTTGGCCTCCCAAAGTGTTGGGATTACAGGCATGAGACACCGCACCCGGCCTCATGTATGCATTTCTTTTCTTCTTTTTTCTGTTTTTGTTTTTTTTTTTAAGACAGAGTCTCGCTCTGTCGCCATGCTGGAGTGCAGTGTCGCCATCTCGGCTCACTGCAACCTCTGCATCCTAGGTTCAAGCAATTCTCCTGCCTCAGACTCCAGAGTAGCTGGGACTACCAGCACGCGCCACCACACCCGGCTAATTTTTGTAGTTTCAGTAGAGACGCAGTTTCATCATGTTGGCCAGGATAGTCTTGATCTCCTGACCTTGTGATCCGCCCCCTTGACCTCCCAAAGTGCTGGGATTACAGGTGTGAGCCACCTCACCGGGCCGCATGCATTTCTTGATGCAATACACGAGTCCTGTGAGACGGGTATTAGGAAGTCAAGCCATTCGGAAAATTGCCCAGGTCACACACCCAGCAGCTGGCAGAACCAGATTCGAGCTCAGGGAAGTGAGATAGTACAGGGTCTCCAGTACATTATGCTAGTGATAAAATTATTGGTTCAGTCCTTAAATAGCTCTTTTGCCAATGATCTTGCAATCTATCCTAGATATGTCTCCTGTGAGAGATTGAACAGTTCAGTAAAACCGACAGTTATACAGCCTATAGATAACTAGACACACAAAGAAGTAATCACATAAGAAGTGTATCTACTCAGATACCCTAAAATCGAAAATGTCAGCAAGAAATCTCTCACTTTACCCATTTTTAATTTCACAGAAAATCAAATTCAGGGTTGAGCACTGTGGCTCATACCCGTAATTCAAGCACTTCAAGAGGCCGAGGAGGAAGGATTGCTTGAGCCCAGGAGTTTGAGAGCAGACTGGGCAACACAGTGAGACCTTCGTCTCAAAATAATAATAATAATAATATAGAAAAAGAAAAAAACAAGTTCAAGAGAAAAACCAACTGCCAGATCCCAAAAAAGTTCACTGTAAATATGTTTATATGAAGGAACATTTCTGAGCTCGATGAAAATGAGGACACAGTGACCCTACCACATAAGCAAAAACATTTAGCAACAGATAACAGATATGTACTATTAGTAATAAAATGATAATGATCCTTGGTCTACAGTACAGAAACACTCATCACCAATGGTCTTAACTGTGGGACACACTGTTTTGAATTTGGTCTTTCAGAGTGGTAATCAAATTGTACTGGAAAAATTTTAAGCCACCTAATGCCAGGAGGCTTGTGGGGCCGGGGGCACGGTCTTCCATCACCTTACCAAAAAAATCCTAGCAAAGTCTTCCCAATTGCGGGGCTGCAGTCGCGAGTGTGGGGCAACACCTGCGGGTAACAGTCCACGCGAGCAGTCGGGAACCCCGCAGGGCGCAGGGGCCAGGATGGCGGAGCGCGCACTGCGGCCTGGATACCTTCTCCCGAGGCCTGGCTGGAAGACTGGGGTCTTCCCCGACGAGGAAAGCCCTCAGTTCTCACAGGTCCGCGTCCCCAGTCTCCTCCCCAGCCAGGACCGCACGAGCAAACAAAGGCTGAGCGTCTCGCTGTGGGCCCGCCCCGGGAGAGAGCGCGGGCCGCGATCCACCCCTGACCTGCACCTGCCGCCCTGCTCGGTGAGGGCGTGGCCGGCATCACATCCTCCGCGCCAGGGTCGGGTAACCCGAGGGGACCCCACCCAGTCTCCCAGCTGCCCTCCGGGTCTACGGCCCCGAGCTCCCCACCCCCGCACTGCAGCAGCGCGCGCCGCGGGCCCGGGCCGCGCGCCGGGAAGCCACCTGCACCCCGAGCCGCCCCACGGCGCCGCCCAAGCCCTCTGGACCTGGGGAAGGGCCCGCGGGCCGGCGGGGAGGAGACGCCCGGCTCCTCCGGCTTCGCCCAGCGGCTGAGGACTGGACGCCGGGCAGGGCGCGGGCACGACTTACCCGCGGCAGTGGCCCTGTTGGCGGGCGCGCTCACGTGCAGGGCGGAGGAGCCCGCCGAGCTGAGTGAGAGAGACTGAGCAGGGGCTGCGGCGCGGCCGGGAGCCAGAACCACCGATAAAGCGCCGCGCCTGAGAACCAGCCGCCGCCGCTCTTCCCTAACGCGGGAGTCGGGGCGGAGCCTGGAGGCGGGGCCTTGGCGCTTGGGGCGGGGATGGAAGGCGGGGATGGACGCCTGGAGGCGGGGTTAGGGGCGGAACTTGGAGGTGGGCCATAGGCGCGCGGGGGCGGGGTTTCCGCGGGCGGGGCGGAACTAGAAGTCTGGGCCTGACCCATGGAGGCGGGATCAAGGGCGGGGCCTGGAAGTGGGCCGTCGGTACAGGGGCGGGGTCTCGGCGGGCAGGGCTGGGTTGGAAGGCGTGGCCTGACTCATGAAGGCAGGATCAAGGGCGGTGCCTGGAGGCGGGCCATAACAGCAGGGGCGGGACCTGGGCGGGCCGGGCTGGGCTGAAAGGCGAGGCTTGACTCATGGAGGCGGGATCAGGGGCGGGGCCTGAAGGTGGACCATTGGTGTTAGGGCGGGGCTTCGGCTTGGGAGCAGAGCTTGGGGAGGGCCCCGGCGTGCTGGGGCCGTTCAGTCGCCGCAGCCGCTGAGTGAGGGCCGAGAGTCTTCCTTAGCTTCCCCGCCATAGGCGTCGTTTCGTAGCCGGGCTGCTCCGGGGAAGGCCTCGTACAGGTGGGTAAGGCGGCGTCTGCGCCTCACCTGGGGATCCCCGACACAACCGAGTGGAAGGGGACAATGGTCAGTGCCCGCCCAAGTTCGTCCGCGTGTGCATCGGCCGTCGGAGGTGCTTTGGAGTCATTCACAGAAACGGAGAAGCGGGGGCTCCTCAAAGGGTGCGCGGCACCTGGTTCACCCCATCTTTTCCTTCTGGACCACGTCCAAGCCCTCCACACACGCTTGGGGCGCAGAGGGCGCAGAGGGCGCAGAGGGCGCAGAGGGCGCGGCCGGCTTAGGACCCCGCTAAGTTGCCTCAGCCCGCACGGGCCTCAGGTTTCCGACCCCGGGCGACGGGAGAGATGAGATCATTTCTACCTGGACGGAGCTTGTCACGTGGGCTATAGCTCAGGAAGGAGACCTTGACGTCAACCTTAGAAAGCATTCATATCTCCAGACAATCCCAGCCCCTGCCTGCCGTCCTCTCGAGCGCTGGGACCTGGACGGTCCAGTCCGACCGCTTCAGGACTGGACGCACCTGGATGGTGCTTGTTAGGCAGTGCAAGCCCTGTCCCCACCCAGCTGTGGCTCCAGCCAACCCGAAGCGGGCCACTTGTGGATGAAGGCTGTCATTTCTGCAGTGGCGTCGCTCCTTTTAACCCCCGAGCGTCCTTTAGAAATGTTCAGACCAGGTCTGGAGTTCGTGAAGGCGAGGCAGTAGTCAATGAGCTTGGGAGATGGGGGAGGTATGAGCACGTGGAAGTTGTTTAGGACACTTTGTGTTTATGCATGTTTCTAGGGAAGGGGTATATTATCAGATTCCAAAGTGGATCTGTCACTTCCCTGGAAACAGCAAGAATATTTTAATAGTTTGGGATGCTGGACCTGTGGCCCAGCCAGGCTGCTGATTCTGATTTTGTCTCCATTTGGCATATACCAAGTACCCCAGATGTAAATCCTCTCATGGTCAATTTGAGGAATGCTCTTACGATAGAAGCAGAGAGAAATGAAAAGATTGGGCCACAGCAGGAAAAAAAAATTAATTTCATGAAGATTGATTTCCTAATGAGAATATGATAAACTGGTTTTACAAAAGCAGCAAACAAAAACAGGACAAAAAAAAAAGAAAAGAAAAAACATGATGGCAAGCAGGTGAGTTTTTTTTTTTTTAAGGTTCTGCAAATCCTAGTCACACTCAACACTGCACTGAACAGAGATGAAAGAACTGCTTTACACTTAACATTAAAAAGAGAACCAGTCTATTTGTGCCAAAGCCACCATGCACATACAATTTGTACCTTATATTCATATACCACCTATCTGTAAAGGACTCTGGGTGTGTGTGTGGGGGGGTGGGGTTAATTTAATTTTGACAAATTCATTTGTAAATCATTAAAAAAACTCAATTTATAATTGGCAGTATACTGTCAATTACTGTATACTGTGTACAATATACTGATACTGACAGGATTGACAGTAAATGTATAACATTGAGATTTGAGTATTCTGGCCAGGTGCAGTGTCTCATGCCTATAATCCCAGCACTTTGGGAGGCTGAGGCGGGCAGATGACCTGAGGTTGGGAGTTCAAGACCAGCCTGACCAACATGGAGAAACCCTGTCTCTTCTAAAAATACAAAATTAGTTGGGTGTGGTGGCACATGCCTGTAATCCCAGCTACTCAGGAGGCTGAGGCAGGAGAAAAATTTGAACCCAGGAGGGGGAGGTTGCAGTGATGAGCCGAGATGGCGAGAAGGTGCCACTGCACTCCAGCCTGGGCAATAAGAGCAGAAACTCTGTTTCAAAAAAAAGAAAAATGTATCACAGAAAAGCTGATATGGAAAGAACCACTGGCTTCCTCTGTTGTCTAAAAAACACTGTATTAGCCAGGCGTGGTGGCACGTGCCTGTACTCCCAGCTACTTGGGAGGCTGAGGCAGGAGGATCACTTGAAACTGGGAGTTGGAGGTTGCAGTGAGCCAAGATTGCGTCACTGCACTCCATCCTGGGCAACAGAGTAAGACTCTGTCTCAGAAAACAACAAAAACAATATAAAACAAAAAACACATTGTATTTTAAATGGAGATAATCCATTTAAAATATGCTGCATTTAAACCATATTTCATTTCTCTATGGAAAAGTTCACATATAGGCTAACTTGGGGATCTATTAATAATAACCATATGACTTACACTTTAAGCATAATCTAATTTACACTTAGATTTAATGTATCATCTCCCTTAGTTTTTACACCAAGAGAGTTACTACTCTCTAGACTCAAAAGTGAAGCTGGACCTGCCAAGCACTAGAGACCACAGAACTTTGTAGTCAGTCCTGGATATGATCCTGGCTTTAGCGCTGAGATCTTGTGCAAGTTAATTAACCTCTCCAAGCCTTTATTTCTTCATTTGAAAAATGACATTGATTCCTACCTTAAAGGATGCAGTGGTTTCAATGTGTCCCCTAAAGTCACGTATTAGAAACATAATCCCCAAGGCAACAGTGTTGCAAAGTGGAACCTTCAAGATCATGAGTGAAGACTCTGCCCTCATAAATGGATTAATACCTTTATCAGTGGAGTGGATTCCTGATAGAAGGATGAGTTTAGCTTGTACCTTGTGAGCATTTTCTTGCCCTTTTCTGCCTTCTGCCATGGTAGGGACACACCAACAGGCCCTTGCCAGATGCTAGTGCCGTGCTTTTGCACTTCCCAGCCTCCAGAATTATAAGAAATAAACTCACTTTTTTTTTTTTCTTTTTTTGAGACAAGTGACAGAGTCTCACTCTGTTGCTTAGGCTAGAGTGAAGTGGCATGATCATAGCTCACTGCAGCCATAAACTCCTGGGCACAAGTGATACTCCTACCTCAACTTCCCAAGTAGGTAGTACTAAAGGTGAGCATGATCACACTTGGTTGATTTTTATTTTTTGTAGAGACGGGGTCTCTCTATGTTGCCCCGGCTGGCCTTGAACTCTTGGCCTTAAGTGATCCTCCCACTTTGGCTTCTGAAAGTTATGGGATTATTGGCATGAGCTACTGTGCCCAGGTAAATTTATTTTCTTTATAAAGTACCTAGTTTGTGATATTCCATTATAGTAACACAAAATGAACTAAGGCAAAGGACTATAGTCAGAATTACCTAAAACCATGTTGGGAAAGCATTAAGCAGGACATATGGTCTAATTTGCCATAGGTTCTCAATTCATGATTTTTTTCTCCTTTTGGTTCCAAGCCCAGTTGTTTTTTTCCTACAGCATACGGTGAACCCCCAACATCTGAGACAGGTCTCAGTTAATTTAGAAAGTTTATTTTGCCAAGGTTGAGGATGGGCAACCATGACACGGCCTCAGGAGGTTCTGACAACATGTGCCTAAGGTGGTTGGGGCACAGCTTGGTTTTATACATTTTAGGGAGACGTGAGACATCAATCAATATGTATAAGATGTACATTGGTTCAGTCTGGAAAGGTGGGACAACTCCAGGCAAAGGCGGGACAGCCGGAAGCATGGAGGGGCTTCCAGGTCATAGGTAGGTAAGAGGTAAATGGTTGCATTCTTTTGAGGTTCTTTTGAGCCTCTCCAAATGAAGCAATCAGATATGCATTTGTCTCAGTGAACAGAGAGGTGACTTTGAATAGAATGGAAGGCAGGTTTGCCCTAAGCAGTTCCCAGCTTAACTCTTCCCTTTAGCTTAGTGATTTTGAGGGCCCCAAGATTTATTTTCCTCTCACAATACTATAAAACATGTTAATGCACTTCTATTGGTTAGGTTCCTTTTGATTGCAAGCAACAACTACCCAATTCAATGTAGCTTATGAAAAAGGAAAATATATTTTAAGGATACAAGGGTATCTTGGAGCATCTCTGAGAACTCAAGATTTCAGGAATGATCTAAGGACAGGGAAGGGAGTTTCTCTTTGGGCCAATTCTTTTTTTTTTCCCCCCCCAAGACAGGGTGTCGCTTTGTCATCCAGGCTGGAGTGAACTGATACAAACATGGCTGGCTGTAGCCTCCACCTCCCAGGCTCAAGCAATCCTCCTGCCCCAGCTCCCCAAGTAGCTGGTACTACAGGCATGTACCACCAAGCCTGGCTAAGTTTTGTATGTATGTTGTAGAGACAGGGTATCACCATGTTACCCAGGCTGGTCTCAAACTCACGAGCGCAAGCCATCCACCTGCCTTGACCTCCCAAAGTGCTGCGATTGGAGGCAGGAGCCACCACACCTGGCTTAAACGCGCCTCCTGATGGTTGGCCTCCTTCTCTGGCGATGGCTGGCTCCCTCTGCTCCTTAGGCACATGAGGTGGGATGCACAGTAACAGCTCTGATCCAATCCAACTGGTTCTTTTTAGAGGAAAGATCTAGAGCTGGAGCAGTCAACAGAGGCAAGGTCACCATGTGGCTGCTGCCGCTGCAAACATGGGAAGGAAGCGGGGGGCGGGGGAGGGCAGAAGATCATATATTGGAAGAGGGTGCTGGGGAGACCATCCAATAAGGGCCAATGGCAGCCCTTCTCATAAAAATGAGAAATGTCATTCTGACCAGCAGTTGACAATTAAGGGTCATCCAAGTGAGCTACATGCTTATCCAAAAAGGACTGGCTAGAGACAAAAGAGGAAGTGGGTTACACACTTATCCAAAAAGGGTTAGATACAAAAGAGGAAGAAGAAATAAAAGGGACCGGTTCGTTTTCTCCTGCACTTCCTGTCTGTGAGTTTGTCAGGCAGAGCCTGAAGTGCTCTGTGGTTCCTGGGCTATTGCCCGTCATTAGCAGGACAGGAGTTTGGCTGCAGAGGGAGATGACAGTATAAAAGATACTCAGGAAGCTGGTTGAAAGCCATTAAAATGTTTTTAGAGCCAGGAAGGGAGCCATTAAAATGTCTTAGGAGCTGTGACCTGAGATGAATACTATAAGAGCATGTTGGATTTAATTAGTGACATACAAATAGGCTGAAGGATGTTTTTGTTGTTGTTTTGGTTTTTTTTGAGGCAGGGTCTTGTCCTGTCACTCAGGCTGAAGTGCACTGGCACAATCATGGCTCAGTGCAGCCTTGACCTCCTGGGTTCAAATGATCCTCCCAACCTCAGCCTCTAAGTAGCTGGAACTACAGGCGTGCACCACCATGCCTGCCTAATCTTTTTTGAATTTTTGTAGAGAGGGGTCTCGCTATGTTGTCCAGGCTGGTCTCAAACTTCTGGGCTCAAGCAACCTGTCTGCCTTGGCCTTCCAAAATGCTGGGATTACAGGCATGAGTCACTCCATCTGGCCTGCACTCTCTTCTGGTCCATGTTTGTTACAGCTGGAGCTGAGCTTTTGTTCGCCGTCCACCATTGCTGTTTGCCGTCCACCACTGCTATTTGCCGCCATTGCAGACCCGCTGCTGACTTCCATCCCTCTGGATCCGGCAGGGTGTCTGCTGTGCCCCTGATCCAGCAAGGCGCCCATTGCCACTCCCGATCGGGCTAAAGGCTTGCCATTGTTTCTGCATGGCTAAGTGCCTGGGTTCCTCCTAATGGAGCTGAACACGTCACTGGGTTCCATGGTTCTCTTCCATGACCCACGGCTTCTAGTAGAGCTATAACACTGACCGCATGGCCCAATATTCCCTTCCTTGGAATCCGTGAGGCCAAGAACCACAGGTCAGAGAACACGAGGCCATCATCTTGGGAGCTCTGGGAGCAAGGACCCCCCGGTAACAGTATGACCATAGCTCACTGCAGCCTTGAACTCCTGGGTTCAAGTGACCCTCCCACCTTAGCCTACCAAGTAGCTAGGACTACAGGTGTGTGCCAACATGCCTGGCTAATTTTTGTTTGTTTTGGTTGCAGACATGGAGGCCTGCTGTGTTGCCCAGGCTGGTTTCAAACGCCTGACCTCAGGTGATCCTCCTGCCTCAGCCTCCCAAAGTTCTGGGATCACAGACTTGAGTCACTGTGGCCAGCCAGAATTTAAATTCCACTGAATTTTTGTTGTTTGACCAACCATTCTTGCCGAAGCCTTGACACTCTTGCAAACCTTTGCAAGTACATTTCTTCTTTTTCAGAAGGCTCCTTGGTCTCCAAGTCTTTTTTCCACAGAGTGTAACCTGAAGCCAGGAGGCCTGTTGCAAAACCAATCCCATTTGAAAGCAGGGAATATGAATTCACCTATTGTCATAAAGATTATAAAAGAGGTGCTGGCTCACTCCTGTAATCACAGCATTTTGGAAGGCTGAGGCAGGCGGATCACCTGAGGTCAGGAGTTCAAGACCAGCCTGGCCAACATGGCAAAACCCCATCTCTACTAAAAATACAAAAATTAGCCAGGCATGATGGTACACACCTGTAATCCCAGCCACTGTACTCGGGAGGCTGAGGCAGGAGAATTGCTTGAACATGGGAGGTGGAGGTTGCAGTGAGCCAAGATGGCACCACTGCACTCCAGCCAGGCGACAGAGCGAGACTATCTGAAAAAAAAAAAAAATGATAAAAGAGGGTGGGTGCGGTGGCTCATGTCTGGAATCCCAGCATTTCAAGAGGCAAAGGAATGAAGATTGCTTTAGTCCAGGAGTAAAAGACCAGCCTGGGCAACATAGTGAGACCCTGTCTCTACCAAAAATTTAAAAATTATTTGGGCATGATGGCACATGCCTGTAGTCCCAGCTACTTAGGAGGCTGAGATGGAGGGATCACTTGAAGTTTTAGTCATGGAAATCTCTTGCCCTGGAGGTCGAGGCTGCAGTAACCCATGATCATTGCCACTGCACTCTAGCCTGGGCAACAAAGCAAGACCCTGTCTCAAATTTAAAAAAAAAAAAAAAAAAAAGGCTTAGGGAGCCACTGAAGAATCACTCTGGGCTGTAGTTCACAGGGGGTGTACACAGGTTAAGAAGAAGACATCTGCATGTGTTTCGGTAAAGAAGTAAGGAGATAAAGTTGCGGTGGCTGGGCAACCTTGCAAACATTCTGGGAAGGAATGCAGAATGCAAAACCCAGCTGAAAAATCTAGAAGAAATTATGTCCCAATTAAAGAAGATATTCCTCCTGAGTGCCTCAAGCTCTACTACTTCATAAGTATAAGAACTAGCCGGGTGTGGTGGCTCTTGCTTGTAATCCCAGCACTTTGGGAGACTGGGGTGGGCAGATCACTTGAGGTCAGGAGTTTGAGATCAGCCTGGCCAACATGGTGAAACCCCATCTCTACTAAAAATACAAAAAATTAGCCGGGCATGGTGGCGGGTGCCTGTAGTCCCAGCTACTTGCGAGGCTGAGTTAGAAGAATTGCTTGAACCCAGGAGGTGGAGGTTGCAGTGAGCTGAGATTGTGCCACTGCACTCCAGCATGGGCAACAGACTGAGACGTTGTCTCAGACAAAAAAAAAAAAGTATAAGAACCAACAAAAATATACTCAAAACAGAATGAGATGCAAAGAAAGCTTGCAGAGCTAAGGAAATAGAGGATAAAGCATCACCCTTACAGAATCAAAAAACTGGAAACAGCAAGGAACAGCTGGAAAATGGCTCCATAGTTCTAAAACCACTTGCTATGCCAGTGGTTCTAAGTGCAGTCCCAGGACCAGCAGTGTCAGTACCACCTGAGAACTTGTTAGAAATGAAGTGAATTGGTGTGGTGAGGGGAACCAGCAATCTGTTTTAATCAGCCCTTCAGGTGGTTCTGATGCCCACTAAAATTTGAGACTATGTTCTTCTCCCTCTCAGGCTAAAGAGTTGGGCATAGCAATGTTGTTCAGCTCCAGATTCCAGAACTAGACACCTTTCTCCCAGAGAGATTCTGATGAACATTCCTTTTCAAGAACAGAAAGAGGCTGGGTGTGATGGCTCACGCCTATAATCTCAGCACTTTGAGAGGCCGAGGCAGGCAGATCACCTGAGGTCAGGAGTTCGAGACCAGCCTGACCAACATGGAGAAACCCCATCTCTACTAAAAATACAAAGTTTGCCAGGTGTGGTGGCACATGCCTGTAATCCCAACTGCTCAAGAGGCTGAGGCAGGAGAATCACTTGAACCTGGGAGGTGGACGTTGCGGTGAGCCGAGATCATGGCATTGCACTCCAGCCTGGGCAACAAGAGTGACACTTCATCTCAAAAACAAAAACAAACAAAAACAAAAACAAAGAAGAAGAAAAAATAAAAAAGGCTGGGTGCCGTGGCTCACGCCTTTAATCCCAGCACTTTGGGAGGCCGAGGCAGGCAGATAAACCAAGGTCAGGAGTTCGAGACCAGCCTGGCCAACATGGTGAAATCCCATCTCTACGAAAATTACAAAAATTAGCCAAGCGTGATGGCAGACTCTTGGTAATCCCAGCTCCTCAGGAGGCTGAGGCAGGAGAACAGCTTGAACCCAGGAGGCAGAGGTTGCAGTGAGCTGAGATCGCGCCACTGTACTCCAGCCTGGGTGACAAGAGCGAGACTCCATCTCAAAAAAAAAAAAAAAAAAGAACAGAAAGAGAATCAAACCACAACATCAATTCATTCATTCATTCCACCAACCTTTATTAAGCATCAAGCTCCGAAGCAGATGTTTACCAGTTTTGCACAACTTTGTCATGGACCAGCTGGCCTTGTGGCTCAGTGGCATCTGGAGGCAGGAGGGCCAAGTAGACAGGGGTTTCAGCCCCCTCCTCCACAGTCCTGATGCTGTATTTCCCATCCATGTCTGTCTGCACTGGTCCTGGGCAGCACGCATTCACCAGAATCCTGTCGGCTTTCCTCTTCTCATCCAGACGCCTGGCCAGAATCCTCGATAAGACTGTGACCCCCAACTTGGACACTCCATAAGGTGAGTTGGGCCAGCCTTCCCTCTCATGCACTTCATTTTTTGTGTCCTCCACAAACTTTTTCATGAGATCCACCAGGTCTCCCTCTGTGAGTGTCTCACTGCGGAACTTTTCCTGCAGATCTTCACTGCAGTTTTCAAAAGCCCTTAAACACTGTAAACTACTGATATTCACCACTCTCCCTGAAACAGAGTGAGAAAAATATGAAAGCATATCACAGAGATACAACCATTGGTTGAATATACCAAACATATAATTGAGTCATTGTGCAGGGTTTTTTTGTTTGTTTGTCTGCTTGTTTTTGAGACGGAGTCTCACTCTGTTGCCCAGGCTGGAGTGCAGTGGTGCAATCTCGGCTCACTGCAAGCTCCGCCTCCCGGGTTCACACCATTCTCCTGCCTCAGCCTCCCGAGTAGCTGGGACTACAGGCGCCCACCACCACGCCCGGCTAATTTTTTTGTATTTTTGATAGAGACGGGTTTCACTGTGTTAGCCAGGATGGTCTTGATCTCCTGACCTCGTGATCTGCCCGCCTCGGCCTCCCAAAGTGCTGGAATTACAGGCATGAGCCACCACACCTCGCCTTTTTTTTTTTTTTTTTTTTTTTTGAGACGGAGTCTCGCTCTGTTGCCCAGGCTGGAGTGCAGTGGTGCAATCTCGGCTCACTGCAAGCTCCGCCTCCCGGGTTCACACCATTCTCCTGCCTCAGCCTCCTGAGTAGCTGGGATTACAGGTGCATGCCACCACACCTGGCTAATTTTTGTATTTTTAGTAGAGACAGGGTCTCACCATGTTGGCCAGGCTGGTCTTGAACTCCTGATCTCAAGTGATCTGCCTGTCTCAGCTTCCCAAAGTGCTGAGATTATAGGTGTGAGCCACCGCGCCTGGCCATTGTGCAGGTTTAATTGCTGATTAAAAACAAAAAAGTGATTGGACACTGTGGCACATGCCTGTAATCCCAGCACTTTTGGAGGCCGAGAGGGGTGGATCACTTGAACCCAGGAGCTCAAGACCAGCCTGGGCAATGTGACAAAACTCTATCTCTACTAAAAATACAAAAATTAGCTGGGTGTGGTAGCGTGTGCCTGTGGTCTCAGCTACTCAGGAAGCTGAGGTAAGAGGATCACCTGAATCCAGGAAGTAGAGATTGCAGTGAGCCATGATCACACCACTACACTCCACTACACTCCAGCTTGGGTGACATGAATGAGACCCTTTCTCAAAAAGTAACAATCAAATTAAAAAAAAAAAATTTAAATGTGACTATAGAAGGCATAAAATCCATGCACCCGTGGGTTTTGATGTTTTTTTGGCCCTACGCTCCCAAGGGGAAGAACACACCTCCATCAGTGAGAGGGGGTCCCTTTCTCAGGGATTCTCTGAGAGATGGGTGAGGTAGTAAATTTGTAGATTCCCCAGGCAGTTTTATTTTTACTTCAATTTATTTATTTATTTATTTTTAAGACACAGTCTTGCTCTATTGGTAGTAAATTTGTAGATTCCCCAGGCAGTTTTATTTTTACTTTTACTTAAATTTATTTATTGATTGATTTATTGAGTTTTAAGACACAGTCTTGCTCTGTCACCCGTGCTGGAGTGCAATGGTGCAATCTTAGATCACTGCAACCTCTGACTCCCAGGTTCAAGCAATTCTCTTGCATCAGCCTCCCAAGTAGCTGGTGCCCACCACCGCACCCAGCTAATTTTTGTAATTTTAGTAGAGACGGGGTTTTGCCATGTTGGCCAGGCTGGTATTGAACTCCTGACCTGAAGTGATCTGCTCGCCTCAACCTCCCAAAGTGCTAGGATTATAGGTGTGAGCCACTGTACCCAGCCTAAAATTTTTTTATTTTGTTTTGTGAGACAGGGTCTCGTTCTGTCGCCTAGGCTGGAGTGCAGTGGCACAATCTCGGCTCACTGCAACCTCCGCCTCCCAGGATCAAGTGATTCTCCTGCACCAGCCTCCCAAGTAGCTGGGAGGACAGGTGTGCACCACCACGCCCGGCTAATCTTTGTATTTTTTTAGTAGAGATGAGGTTTCACCTGTTGGCCATAATGGGCTTGAACTCCTGACCTCAAGTGATCCGCCCGCCTTGGCCTCCCAAAGTGCTGGGATTACAGGTGTGAGCCACCGTGTGCCCAGCCCCCGGCAGTTTTAGAAAACCACTCCTCCCCAGCATACACACTCCAAGTACTCATAAACCTGCTTTCAGAGGGACAGTGCTCTCATCCTAAGGACTAACGCTCTCAATTTCCTAGGCACACGCAATTTCCTAGGACCGTGGGCAGCCACCCCAATTCCTTAGTGCCACAACCAGCAGCAGTAAGGAATCCCTGGGGATGACTCTGTCTGTCCTTCATTATGCACACTTCACATGTGGAATGGGCTGTTTTTCCATCCTGCTTTTTTTGTCATTACTTTTTTTTTGAGACAGAATCTCTGCCACCCAAGCTGGAGTGCAGTGGCAAGATCTCAGCTCACTGTAGCCTCCACCTGCCATGCTCAAGTGATCCTCCTGCCTCAGCCCCACAAGTAGCTGGGACCACAGGCACACACCACCATGCCCGACTAATTTTTGTATTTTTCGTGGAAATGGAGTTTCTCCATGTTGGCTGGGCTGGTCTCAAACTCCTGAGCTCAGGAGATCTGCCTGCCTCTGCCTCCCAAAGTGCTAGGATTACAGGTGTGAGCCACTGCATCTGGCCTGATTTCATTACTTTTTAGTCCCTATATGATAATATTCATTAGATTATGAATATTCATGTTGATCATAATTCACAGCTACTAAAGAGACAATCGTGCCCACAGAAACAAATATGCAAGCCAAACATTTTACAACAATTTGAAGTACTGGTGGAAATCCAAAAACCAGTAAATGTGTTAATTTACACATTTCATCAGCATCAAACCCCACTAATTTTAGGGAGTTCTTTTCTTACATATTATTACGAATGCATATGCTCTGTGTCCAGTAGGATCTCGTTCTGTTGGTGGGGATTGGGTCCACGAAGAATGTGCAGCTCCCTGCAATGGGAACCTGTGGGCAATGCCAATCAGAAAATGACATGAAAATCTTCAGAATGCCGGGCAGCGTGGTGGCACAGGCCTGCAACCCAGCACTTTGGAGAGGGCTGAGGAAGGCAGATCACCTGAGGTTCAGAAGTTTGAGACAGCCTGGCCAACATGGTGAAACTCCATCTCTACCTAAAAATACAAGAATTAGCTGGGTGTGGGTGGCGCACACCTGTAGATCCCATTCTAACCTTGGAGGCTGAGGAGGAAAGTTGC